TACAGTATGTGGAAAATAATGTGTTTTTTGAACCTTAAACCGCATAAACACATTTCATTACACCAAATACACAACATAATGTTATTTTTAGCAGCATCATGTGACCCCTTTAAGGTATTGATTTGATTGCTATCAGCCTGTGCCATCTAGAGTTTCATGACAGAACTTTGTATAATGGAAATACTATATTGCTGAACCAACATGGTTCGAATGACAGATGTGCAACAAAGTTACTATGGTTTCGGGAGGCTAGTTACTAGCTACGTTTTGGTGATTAAGCAGTGAGTTAGTTGTACGGGAAACGTATTAGTTCACGACTGAATCACTCCAAGTGGTTTGAGTCAACTCATCAATACAATGAACCAAAAAATATCTCTTTCAGACATGTTAACTTGAACATGACAACTCACCAACCCGTTAACCCCAAGAACAGTCAGTGTCTCTTTTGGAGATGGCATCAAAATCCTATCCACTTTTTGACTCCATAGCGATTCCAAGTACCTGCAAAGAAAAAAAATCAATTAATTTCTTTATAACACTATCAATTTAATCAGACCAATTACACATTTCTCTTTCTTTATGATTTCAATTAGCAAGTGTTTAACAAGCCAATCATCATGCTTTACATGTATGCTATATACAGTATATACTATATAGGAAATATTCATCACCTTTAAATCTTAAATCTAAAAACTCAAAAAAATCAATCATAGAATTAAGAATCAAATATAGTTTGAAGAATAAAAAAAATCATCAATAATTTCTCAAGGTACAAACACGATTTGGCTCCATTTTATGTCATGTATTACACAAAGTGTATGGAAGAAAAAAAAAGCACATATTTTAGTATTTCAGTGTGATTTCATGATGCTTTAGGTGAGAAAAGAGAGAAGGCTGCCTGATAATGAAAGCCTTCAAACCAAAATGTGCTTTTCCTCTGAACTGGAGTCTGCAGGTGCTGCAATCAGCCGCGCCGCTGAGTGAATCTAATGATCATTCAGACAACCGTGATAATGATCTGATCTAAAGCCAGTCGAGTGAGATGAAACAGAATTTGAAGATGGGTGTAAAAAGCTCCCATCATTGACGACTCACTCATACCAAAAAGACAGCAAAGCGTCCATCAGTATATCACGGGCAGAATTTGTACTTCGGATCTCCATTTCGTTCCAGAATCCAGAATCAACTCCTTTCATGTCAAGTAAAAGCTCTGGGTTTTTAGGGTTTATCAATATATCCTTATCTCCAAAATGCGCAAAAAAAATTAAATAAATCACAATTCGCTCTAATTGACTGTGAATGCATGTGTGTATTTTTGATAAACAGAAATATCTCTGCCCATTAGACAAGCAAATAAGCACTTTGGGCTTTATAAAATGCAAAGGAATTTTGACGGCCAATCCTAAAAGCAATCTCTCCGACACAAATTCACTTAAATGCTTCCAGCATCTTCGCTAAAATGCTAAATTATGAAATAATAATCGTAATTATCTTCACTTTCTCACCGCCCCATAATGTTTCAGAGGGTCATTAGAATTTCTCTCACATTCAGCCATTTAAATGGCTTTCGTGACTTCGCTGATGATAAAAAAAAAGTGCTGGCTTGATTTCACGAAGACGTGAGTTACTATGTGATCTGACTAAGAAGTGTTCCCCTTAATGTCGGCAAGGCGTTTAGAAATGCCTCTAGAGCGAGTCTAATCAGAAGGCCATGCTTCTGATCATGAGCAAACATATCCATTCCCTCATTAAGCTGAAGGTATGGCAAAGCATGCCTGTGAGGTATAATACGCTAAGAGATTCCCATTTTAGATTTGCATTCACAAATATAATGTCCAGTGTTGTAGTACAAAGTAATATTTTTCAATATTGGGTTGTGGCTCTTTATTATTCATATTCATCATGGTTGAGGGATTCTTCATAACGCATCTGGATAAGAAAAGAACACCTTAGGCTAAATTCATACACACCTTATCTCCAAAATGCGCAAAAAAAATTTAATAAATCACAATTCGCTCTAATTGACTGTGAATGCATGTGTGTATTTTTGATAAACAGAAATATCTCTGCCCATTAGACATGCAAATAAGCACTTTGGGCTTTATAAAATGCAAAGGAATTTTGACGGCCAATCCTAAAAGCAATCTCTCCGACACAAATTCACTTAAATGCTTCCAGCATCTTCGCTAAAATGCTAAATTATGAAATAATAATCGTAATTATCTTCACTTTCTCACCGCCCCATAATGTTTCAGAGGGTCATTAGAATTTCTCTCACATTCAGCCATTTAAATGGCTTTCGTGACTTCGCTGATGATAAAAAAAAAGTGCTGGCTTGATTTCACGAAGACGTGAGTTACTATGTGATCTGACTAAGAAGTGTTCCCCTTAATGTCGGCAAGGCGTTTAGAAATGCCTCTAGAGCGAGTCTAATCAGAAGGCCATGCTTCTGATCATGAGCAAACATATCCATTCCCTCATTAAGCTGAAGGTATGGCAAAGCATGCCTGTGAGGTATAATACGCTAAGAGATTCCCATTTTAGATTTGCATTCACAAATATAATGTCCAGTGTTGTAGTACAAAGTAATATTTTTCAATATTGGGTTGTGGCTCTTTATTATTCATATTCATCATGGTTGAGGGATTCTTCATAACGCATCTGGATAAGAAAAGAACACCTTAGGCTAAATTCATACACAATTGAATCATCTGTATGGGTTTGCTCCTAATTTGTAACATAATAGCAAATTTGAGCTATTATTATATTTTTGTACTATAAAAGTTATATGAAAAACAAATTGATGTGTTTATCAGCATGTGTGCGGCTACAGTTTAGGATTCAGGATCCATTGCCATATGGTCATGAAAGTGTTTGCATTAATCTAGTTACTTTTATAAACTACGTAGGTGCCTGTCATCTTTGGTTTTTTTAAAGGTTATACTGTCTCCTGACTCTACATCTAACCTTTAGCAGACATCAAACACAATGAAGTTGTCAGAAATGTAGGATCTCTGTCTTTGCACGGACCCACTTACACTATTGAATCCACACATGAAACAACCACATTCCATTAAGACAAACTGAGGCACTCCTCTGCAACCGCCCTCTAGCGGCGAAAATTACATATTGTGCCTTTAAGCTGGATTCCCTATAGAATGACAAGATTTTTTTTTTCCAACACAAATAAATAATTCGACAGCTTTGTTAAATAATCAACATTACTAAAGAAGCATGATTCAAACAAACATGATATCATGCAGATATCTGGGTTGCAATGATTGTAACAAAATTCTTCTCCAATGCACATTTTTGGCAGCCAGACAGCTGACTAAATAATAAAAACTGGTTACATCTCTGACAATCGGTATTATGCTGAAAAAAATTAAGAAGAAAAATGGAACATCTAAAGCAGTTATTTTATGCAAAGCATTTAAGAAATTATGTATGTCTATAAAATAACAGAGCCAGAAAAGGGCATGATTATATGCATTATTTTTAGAGAAACACAGACAGAATGCAAATTTGACAATGATTAACCATTTAGTTGTAGGCCTATTTCTTGGGGATAGAACACATGCAAGTAAAATGTGCCAACCAAGTCTGTTGCCACAATAACAAACTATCAGACACAAAGCAGAATGTAACGAGGATGAGCAACCCCGCCTAGTGGTCAGCAGTGGTACTTTCCTTTGTAGAGTAGTGGAAAATACACATGTATTGCAGAGGAAAATACCCATCTCAAAAAAGGATAATGAATTTAAATATTTTAATAAAATACTAATATTAATAATAGTCATATTCGATAATGTTTACATATAGAATTATCATTTGTACAAAATACATATAAGAACAAGAGTGTAACGCTGATTAAATGGTAATTCTGAACTACCTAGTTCCTATATAGCCTAACTAGCCTATATTTCTTTATTTACATAATATGTCATTTTTACACGACATCCTTGTTGACTTTTAGAACAGTACTCTTGTTCTTGTGATATTGCTTATATGCGGTTGTACAAACAAGCAGTTTGTATATATTGGTAAACGTACAGTTCTGTAGGCCGCCAAGCAAGGCACAGATTGAAAGCCTGTCTGAAACCTTTTGGAAACGGAGCGTTCTGGAATCCCTCGACACCAGATCCACTCCAGGTTTTCCATTTCCCGCTAATGAGTGAGAGAGAAAAGACTCACAAACACAGGTCTTAACTTCAAAAACATAAAAAAAAGGTAAATTCACACAGCATTGCTTCTGTTTTCAGAAGGAAATTCCGACGCTTCAACTTCAACTAAAACCTGCTTTTTTTGCACCAGGCAAATCGTCTTATCACTCCGCACCTGCTTTAACTTGGTTAAGCGGAGTGATACAAACGGTGAAGCGTCCATAAAAAAAAAGGTAAATTCACACAGCATTGCTTCTGTTTTCAGAAGGAAATTCCGACGCTTCAACTTCAACTTCAACTAAAACCTGCTTTTTTTGCACCAGGCAAATCGTCTTATCACTCCGCACCTGCTTTAACTTGGTTAAGCGGAGTGATACAAACGGTGACGCGTCCAAGTGTGGGAATATTTTGTATACGCACTATTTTGCATAATAATTATTATAATATTTTAAATATAATATTGTAATATAATATTGTTGCCTATAAAATGATTAATTATAATATTTTGCCTAATATTAATATAAGATAGACTTTTTAAAAGTGATAACTGTCAATATGAAGCTCTCAATTGCACTTCATTATTATTATTATATTTAAATGTACTATTATAATGATTCAAAACGGTAATGTTGCATTTTAAATAATAATTATCTATAATATATTATTTTGTATGTAATATGTTTATTTATAACATAATTATTTATAATACGTAGCATAATATTAATAGACATTGGCTGCAAAAATGATAACTCGATATTATGAAGCTGTCAATCGTGCTAGGAGTGAGCGCGCGCGCACGCCTCCTCTCTGCCCCCTCCCCTTAGCAACAGAGGCAAGATGGCGGCCCCCAGTAACGCCGAACGTTCTCCTGATCTGTCAGTGCCGCTGAAGATTCCCAAAACCGAGGTTCCTTCCCCAGAATCCGAGGATCTGAGTGACAGCAACCAATACCATTCCAACCCCTCCACCCCTAATAGATTCTCTCCTCTGAACGTCGGGGTTTCGCTGTCCGGGGGCGCAGGCCGGAGTGGATCGGCCTCTGCCTCCAACAGCTTCACCGCTTCCCAAAAATGGTGTGTCTGATTGGTCCAGACGCTACACCTGTTTCCCAGTCCTTTTAATTACAGAATTTCCACTCACTTCCTTCTCTCCTCGTGCTTTCTTTAGACGCCAGGAAGTGATGGAGAACGTGATGCGTATCCTGGAGTCAGTGGAGGTCAAATGGGAGCACTTCCAGACATGGACTGACTTCTCCCGCCTCCACCTGTCCAATAAGCTGGCCATCTTCGGAGTGGGCTACAACACGCGCTGGAGAGAGGAGATTCACTACCACTATGCAGAAATCAGCTCACAGGTCCCTCTGGGAAAACGACTGCGGGAATACTTCAACCCTGAGAAGGCCGAGGGCAGGGTTATCATGACCAAGGTGCAGAAAATGAACTGGAAAAACGTGTATTATAAATTCCTAGACATCACTATTAGTGAAGCTCGCTGTTTGGAGCTGCACATGGAAGTGGACTGGATCCCGATCGCACAGACGAGAGCGGCAGGGTGCAGCAACGGCTCCCAGTACCTCCTGCCAGGGGGCATCCCAAAAACATATGGCCTGTATGCAATAGGCTATGAGGAGACGAGCAGGTCCAATTCTTCGTCTAGCACAGATAACAAGTCCTCCCCCTCACAGGAAGAGGAGGAGACGGACCATTGCGAGAGCGTGGAGAAGGACAAGAGGACATCATCCAAAGTCACTTACTGTTACCTCGGCATTGCAGAGGAAAGGACGCTACAGCAGTGTCTGTTCCAGCACTTTCAGACTTCAGGCAAACACTACAGCCGAGAGGAGCCTTCGGCCGTAACCAGGTTCCTGCAGGACAACTGCACCGGCCAGGCCAAGGAGGGCGTCCTCTCTGGATTACACATCTACATTAAGTTTATCGAGGTGGAGCTGGACTTTCTCTCCGCCGGATCTTTAGTGGAATGTTTAGAGACTGCGATTGGTTATTCGTTAAAGTTCAACAAGAAGGATGCACTGTAGCGGTTACATTTGCCAATGATGCTCTTTAAAGCCAGGATTTTGAAATATAGACTTGAACTCAAAGTATTTATGTGGTATGTCAGGCACAGTCTGTTCCAAAAGGGGCCAAATAATCTCCTTTGCAGTAATTGTCTTTATCAGGGAGCGTAAACGGGAGCAAACTGCCTTTATTTAAATCTCCCGAGATCCAAATGCAGGAACTGTCAGAAAAAAAGAATCCTTAATGAGAACTCTTAAATAATCTAAGTATAAAGTCTATCTATATAGAAGTATGTGTAAATATATATATATTTATTTATTTATTTATTTATTTATTTATTTATTTATTTATTTATTTAAGATTATATATTGATATTGTCCAGCATTCCAGCATTTCTAATTCTAGCATTCAAAGAATATTTTTCATAAACCGTTTATCAATGTTTGTTTTTTATTTGTCAGATCACACGGTGTCTTTATGTATGATTGTTTCCAGGTCACAGTCTTGTTTACATGTTTGGAAGGACAAAAAAATAAACAGGAGTAAAATGAAGTGTTTTAAAAATGTACTTTGTTTTTAAATTTGGCCATTTTAGGTGTTTTTATTTATAAAGACCTTTCAGAGTAAAACGTTAATTATATACGTTTAATTTATCTTTAATAAGTTTGCTGCAACCGTGGTTGCTGTGGGTCTTAAAAAAAGTCTTAAATTCATTAAGTCATGGCATTAAATATTCTATGCACTGCAAAAATAAATAACAAGTATCATCCTCTGTATTTTTGTTCTGTTTTTCAATACAAATATCTAAACATCATTAAATTAAGCTACATTTACTTGAGATGCAATTTGAACTGCAATTTGTTTACTGAGAAATTGAACAAAATTAAGTGAGTTTATGATTAAAACAAGAACAAATCAGTGGGGTATGCAAACTTGCTTCCCCTTGAATAAGATTGATTTTTCTGAGTCTATTGAATATTTATTCTTTGCATTTACTTTTATTCATTTAGATGCTTTTATCCAAAGCGACATACAATTGAGGAATACAATTGTTTTAATCATAAACTCTCATCATATTGATCAAAATAAATCTATCACAAAACAAGACTTGTTATTCTCTTTAGACATTTGCACTGGAAAGCAAGACTAAAATACTGATAAAAAACACTTTTTCTGCAGTGTGATCAGAACGTGTAATAAGTTATTTCCATATTTATAGCTGTTGGGAGCAGAGGTATTCAAGCCATAAGATTTTTTTTTATATGTGAATGAATGGAGTAATGGAGAGGTGTTGGAATACTATTTGAAACTTTGAAGTGTTGCTAATACAAGACATTTACATTTAAAAAGGTCTCAAAAGGTCTTCTTAAATTTACCTTCATAAAACCTGCAGAAACACATGGTCGGTTATGTGACCAGCAGGTGGCGGTAAATATCTGGGAGTGGCTGAAAGATGTGTCCATTAAATAAGTGTCCATTAATGTCACATTCTAGAATAGTAAATTAAGTATTAGATTACTACTTATAGGCCCTAAGTAGTGCATGTGAAAGTACCTGTCAAACATGTGAAGTAAAGTGCATTCTGTAATTCTTAAAACATACAATAGTTCATTTTGACCCTGTTGCAGTGAATTATGCCCCAAATCAGAAGACTGTATAGTGTTTTATTTAACACAATGTGCACTTTCTCTTTGTAATGCTGCTTGTGTAGTAAACCTCTTTTGTGGTGTTGCAAAGGTAGTTGGAGAGCTGGCGCTGGTCGAGCATGTGCTAAAGAGAATCAATAATTCAAACGCAAAGTCTAATTTCCCTGCTTAGCCTGTCATATGAGATGAGTATCTCCCTCGGCCAGGAAAAAAAAAAAACACTCCCAATGGAGGTTGCTACACTTTTTCTAACCCCAAACATTTATTATTTGCGTTAGTGATTGATTTATTTGGACGGTGACTAAAATATATAACACTTATTATTATTGAACATGATAAGTGTTCCCCATCGATTTCTCTTTATTCGTAGCATCTTTAACTCATGGGTATTTATTCAATCCTTGTGTTGTTGTTGTTTTTTTACCTTTATTTAGCTTTTCTTTTTCTTTAGCTCTAATATTACATGTGTCCTTATGAATTCTAAAGTCACAAAAGACATAAATGCCGTACAGAAGAAATACATCTATAAGAACACAATTAATACTTTTATTAATACTGTTAAACCACCAATGATATAAATCAGACAGAAACAAATTTACAATTAAGTTATTATAATTATTATTTAATTATTCTAGTTATTACTGTGTGTGTATAACAACAACAACAACATAATAATAATAATAATAATAATAATTAGTTTTATGTATTTTCCATTATTATATTATAATTTTTCATAATTGTAAATCAGCTTTTGATTGTATATAATCAAAATAAACTGATTTATTTCTTTATATATTTATTATTATATTTCTTTATTTCTTAATGTTTGTTTTGAATTATTGTTGTGTGTACATTTATTTATATATATATATATATATATACATATATAACTATTGTGATAAAAATAATCATTTTTTTAATTATAAAAATTAATTAATAAAAATAAATAAACGACAAAAAAATACAAACAACAGCTTACCCGACTTATTCTGTCTCTTTGGCTACAATGCATGTTTCCTATAACTAATTGGCAACAAGGGAAATAAAACAAGAAAGGCTGTAAAATGCTGAACCCTCATGGTTTTTCATTCTTATCTCCTGGTTGTTTATGGTTGAGCTGTGTGTGGTCATAAATGATGGACCTAAATTACACTGCAGCTCATGTTCACGTCATTATATTTTCTGTTTGCTGGTCTGGGAACTGTGAGATGATTGTGTCTCTCTTGTGTGCCTGTGTGACTGACCTTTGGTCGATGTTGTTACAGCTCTGAATCGGTCAGTTTTGCCTTGAGAATGGCCTCCAGAGCGTGTTTTTCGATGTGTTGTGTCGTTTTTATCGTGGTTTAAAAAGGAAAAATTACCTTCTGTGTCACAGTGTGTACTATTGTAGCTAAAACATGTGTTTATTTTATCCCACACACCCCAGCTCACCCTGTCCTCTGAATTTTTTGTGGCTGCAGTTTGCCCGAGGTGCTCGAGTGTGTTTAAGATATTAGCTTTGACTGCAAAACCACATGATTGTTTCCAAGCAGCCCAGGGTGTCATCACAGAACTGAGCTCATCTGCCCCTAATAATCCAGCAGTCCGACTGCATCCACCTCAGCCCTGTTTCCATGGCAACATGCCATCCTAAAGAAACAGGAGTGAGGAGGTATTCACCTCCGAGGGCTGAGACCACTGTACCGCCACGACAAGCCCCACTCCCTGTCCTGTTGCATTATCATTTCAAGAGATAAAAGAACTACACAACATTAGTGCTGCTGTCCCGTCTAACTGAACAACACAAGAGCAGCCTGACTGTATTTGTATTGGTCTTCAGACTTTTAAAGAGTTGGAAAGTCAACCTGGGCAATTGATACTGTGTACAATGACCTGTGACTACAGTCATGGTCATATATTAACCATAAGTATGTACATGAACTACTGATCTGTAAAGCATTATATAATGTTTTGATAATGACTTGGTAGTAAAAGGAAAATTTAATCAAATTGATAAAGTGTTACCTATTGTACTAGTTTATATAACTATAATCATAACTGGTTAATTGTCAAATAGTTATTTGTCAAAATATCTATCTATCTATCTATCTATCTATCTATGGTTCTCAAGCAGAAGTCACCTGTAACTGGAGTGATGACGTGTCAGTGCACGCGGGGGCGGGGCGTTCCCCGCGAGTGCAGGTGCAACAGCTCGCAGAGCAGTCACTACGCACGGACTGAAGTACCTCTAGTGCTCACCGCACTCTCTGTGCTGTCTGTGTAGTGCGTAAAGAAACTACAGCGCTGAGAGAATCTTCTGGGAACAAACGGACACTTGTTCAATCTCATTCCACTGAATTCTGAGGAGTCAAAGATAATTTCCAGCTTGGATGTAGCAGCGGTCTTCCCACGGTGAGCGTCGCTTGTTTTGAGGAGAACACAGTTTTAGGACACTTCAACGAGTCTCAGCGCTTTGATTTGTTTGTAGATAACCGTTATCTACTTCACGCGCAGTGTTAATACGGACGAGCGCACGCAGAGCGGACACTCTTCACATGCTGAGCCATGGAGACGCTGACTTCAGCAAAACTTCACACCTGCCTTTCAATATTCACATTTCTGTGCTGTATCTCAGGTAGGCTGCTTCTACACCGATGTGCTAGACAACACTGTTACTCTGTGCGCTGTGTTTGTGAATACTTCATGTGTTCACATACTGGATAGATATGGTTGCTTAGCTACTTGAGTTTAGTTTGATTCAGGCAGTTTTTAAAGTCAAAAAATTAAAAAAAAAAAACTTTTTACAGGTCAACAGTATTGACTAATACTGTATATATTTAAAATTGTTATAAAATGGTTCATTTTGTAAAATTTTATAATATTTCTTGCTATTGTCAGTTGTTTACTCAGTCTACAAGAATAAGACCAGACAGAATAAGAAAATTCTAAAAGTAAACGGGAATGTAGGTTATAGTTTACCACGTGGAAGTAAAGAAAAAAAATCTAAGAAATATTTCATATTATTTTTTTTCTCCTTCCACTTGGTAAACTTATATATATATAGAGAGAGAGAGAGAGAGAGAGAGAATTGACTTGCTTATATTTTAAATATATATTTTCTCCTCCCACTTGGTAAACTAGGTTAGTAAATTAACATAACACATATATAGCCTAATATTACTACATGGTGTCCAGCATGTAAACCCTTGAGTCACATGCCCTTATAAAACACTGTTATCAAAACACCTTCATCAGTAGACTAGTTTAAGATGGGTGTGGTCATCTGCTCATGGAGTCATTTGACAAGCTGCTTTTCTAGGCAATAATGTCATTTTCCTTGAATTATTCTATGCGTGAAGTACAAACAATTGATATTTTTTGGATCTAGCCTAAGTGACGTAGCAATACTGTAGCAGTTGTAAGTAACAGGATATGAGTATGATTTATGGGGGGTACTGAGATTAATTATCTTTGTATTCTCATTAATAGCGATGCACGTTTTGCAGGTGCGTCCTCTTCTCTGCAGTGCCTAGAAAAGACGGAAATGAGTGAAAAGGCTGTAAAATGGATTGACAGCGGGTTATTTCCTTGAGTAAATTAGATTTTATAAAAATGGACAGAACTTGATCCGTGTTGTTTATGGAGTGAGTGAGAAATAATGAAATGGCTTACATACTAATTGTCTGTAATTCTGTAACCACAGAAAAAGTGTGTACCGAATGTGAAATCTAGAGCTCCAGGTCAGACGTTTGTAGTGCAAACCAAGGATGTACTAAGCCTGCTGGATTTAAATGGTGCAGAACAATACCATCACAGGTTTCTGTGTTAAGCCCAGGTGGCAGGGATAAAATTAGTTCAGAAGAACATCATAAGTTCCTGTAACCCTGCATTGCTCTGGTAGCTTGTAAAAGTCAAAGCATGGCTTTTGATAAAAGCCCTTGTCAGCCATTTGGTGACACTGGTAAGAACAAAGTAATTTCAGGCCAAAGGTTTGTTTGTCCTGTCTTTATATTTAGATAGAAGAACATAGAAACAACTCCACAACTAAGACTGCTGCTCTAGAATCCAATTGAACACATCATGACATATTTACAGTGTCCCAAAAAGTATTTGGTTACTTAAGCTTCACTTAAAATGTCTGAATGTCTTGTGTATTAGATTACGAAATATCAGATCACATGGTATTTCTTTGTTTGAAGAAAGCAAGCTCATTTTTCAAGCTTACTATCTATTAAGAGAAAAACAAAAGTTTGTAGGATTTTAAATGTTAAAAGAATAGATTTATTGTTTAAGATGAAAAGAATAGTTCACCCCAAAATGAAAATTTCCTCAATTTCCTCACCCTCAGGTCATCCATGATGTATGTATATGAGAAGAATTTGAATTTGGAGAAATTCACCATTACATCACTTGTTCATCAATGTATCCTCAGCAGTGAATGAGGGCGATCCAGTCCATCAATTAATGTCTTGTGAAGTGAAAAGCTCTGTGTTTGTAAGAACAAAAAAATCATGATTAAGGCATTTTTAACTTTAAACCGTTGCTTCCGGCTAAAATATCCTCTATCCATAATATTGCTTTCTTCAGTCAAAAAGTCATCTCATCTGAATCAGGAGAGAAATCTGCACCAATCAAGCACCGTTTACAAGTGTTATGGATTATGGACTATATATTTTGGCCAGAAGAAATAGTTTCAAGTTAAAATCCCTTAATGAAAGCTTTTTTTGGGGAACTATTCCTTTAAGAGAAAATGTATTTGGAAAGTTTCATGTGTGTATTTAATGTGATGAACTACACCTGTGTGAACCTGAGCGCAACTAAAACTCTCATGGAGAAATAATTGCAAATATTTGGAAATATCAGCATCATATGTTTGCAGTACCTTTTGATTTGATATTTTGTCTAATGCAATGCCATTTGGACGTTTTAAAGTATGACTTGAATCTCCAAATACTTTTTGGGGTCATTGCAGCTAGAACTAGAGTTTTTCCATTTATGCCATGTTGGTTAGGGTTTGAGATGTGGGGTGTGTTGTGTATCAGGATGTCCCATATACGGAAGTGAGAGGAGTCCCTCTCTCAGTGCTGTGTCCCCAGAGGAACGTGCTCAGTGCGGTCTGGGGTCATGAGAAAACTAGTGGGCGACTTTCCCAACTCTCTTCTTGGCCTATTGCATTCTTGCAAATACACACACACACGCATATGCATAATGACATCATAATCTATTTAAAAAAGACGTACCATTTGCTCTTGGAGAGATTTTTACATCACATGGCTTGTAGAGCCAATTGTCTTTTGATGTGCCATTGTGTTGTCAGATTTTCCAAGCATGATAAACTAAGACTAATATTTCACTATTACACACATAAAACCATTGAGTTCAGTAAATTCAGTATAGAAACACTGGCCTAAATTATTATTTAGAAAAAGCAGAAAATAATTATACTTTAGTTAATTTTTTTATTATTATTATTAGATAAAATTATGATCAAATTGAGTCCTAGAGCAACTTAGAACACCAGTGTGTTTCCATCCATTTATCATTCAATTTAACTTGATATGGTGTAGTGGCAGGTTTTCGTGCTGTTGTCATTTTCGTCTCTACTGAGCTCATGCAGGGTGACGTTGTTGATGCTTTTACTCTGCTCTCTATCTGGCCTTACAGGAATCTGTGTAACGATTCATGACTATAGAGACTCTGAGATCAGATGCAGAGACACCTTCCTGTCAACTCTTGAGGGCACACACAGATTCTCACTCATAAGAATTTCTCAGGGGGAGAAACAGAAGGGCAGAGTTTAGCGTGATGTATTTCAGAGCGAACACCACTTTTCCACTAACAAACTACAGTCCAATTTAACCAATCCATGCATATTTAAATTAAGGTAAATTGCTATTTTTGGGGCATCTTTGCACCATTTCCTAATTTGCATAATTTCTTTAGTGAACGCTTAAACCATGCAGACAGCACGGGCAAATGAATGTCAGTGGGTGCAATTCATTTTTAATGAATTTCCATTGTTTCTTGTGAAGCAGACTTGAAACCTATTAATTCAAAATAATTTATTGCATACTGCATTCCAATTACCATAATAATGTTGATTCTCCTTACCTTGCAATCCAACACCTTTAAATTAAGTGTGAAAAGTAAGAAATTACGATTTTTTTATTTTATTTTATTTTATTATTTATTTATTTGATTACAGAGCATGAAAACTATTGACATGAAACTAAATGAATCCAGTTAATGCAACTCAGGAGAAGAGTAATCTTGGTGAGCTAGCTGAGCTTCTGTAGAGGAAGTGACCGAGTAATTACCACTGCTGAAATCCAGTGTAATCTCATATGGCCGGTCAGGAATCATCCAGTGCTGAAATGCAGTGACAGCAACTTTCTGTCTGTCTGACTGTCTGTCTGTCAGATTGTTCCATTATATGGAGTTCTCTCTTTGCACTGTAAAATTTTTTTTTAAATATTGGCTTCATATGATAGCATCATTATTTGTGGTAGCATTTTTATTCTATAGTGAAAAATATTACAGAATTGGGAGTCTGCAGATGATTTGAAGGATCAAATGATTTCAATAGAGTGATACTGTAAGAATTATAAAAACACACAGCACTCACAAATATTGGGTAAAATTGTCCATATTAAAATACTGAACTGCATGTTTTTTGAACTGCACTCACATTTGCCGTTGTTCTGTGAAATTTCAACAGCAAAATCCAGTCATTCCAATAGGAGAGCACATGAGGGTGAAAAAGTTCACTATGCAGATTTTGCTCTTTTTCAAGTTGGTCATGTGAATTTGCCACACTAACTAGATAGCTGATTAATTTGAAACTGACTGACTGTGTGAGCAGTGTTCTATGCTGTTGACAAAGTATAATGGACCCTTTTTATAATGGACCCCAGAGTTTTTGCTATACTGCTAGGCTGATTGCAGTGCATTCTGGGATTGGCTTGACCATAAAAGGTATGTTTAGTGCTGCATTAAAATTTGTCCAAAATAATGTATTTTAGTTATGAGTATGTCTTTGATGCCTTAAAATGCTCCCTCACTAGGTTTTGGAAGAGCAAAATGGTTCTGGATGAGGCTAAAATTGCCACGGTATAGCTTGAAATAAAGTAAATCTAAAATCTATTCAAATTATAGGTTCATATTACACTTTTATTCATTATTATTTATTTCATGTTAAAAAGGAGTAACAGTGTTTTTAAAAAAAAAAAACACTCCAGTTCCTCAAGGAATGACCATTATAACCATCATATTTGACTAGACTGCTCATACTGCTATCTTGATGCCTGTTGGCCTACTGAGGGGTCTGTTTTTGTTAAGCCTCAATCACTGATCAAATGTTTCTTTGGGTAAAATCGGTGACCTTGGGGGTCACTGTGTGTTGTATAGCTCTCCTGCCTCTACCTCTTTCTTCAGAGAAATAGCCAGAGACACAAATATGGGCAAGATAAAAAAAAATATGTGGCTTGTTATAGAGAGAGAGAACGAAGAGAGTGAAAATCAGAAGTGAGCTGTCACTGAGGTTTTGCCCACCTGTCATCTCACAGCCATTAGAGGACAGAAAGCTTTACTTTACAGCTCATCAGCACAATTTCAGCACCTGCGGCCAGGTACAGC